GCATTTTGGTGAAGATTTGAGTCTATAACCAGGTGGCACTTGGAATAGTATATCAGATCTGTTGTAGGAGGAGTGTTTATACATCATCTACAGAAGCAGAAAATCACTACCATATTTTCAACTGAGTGGAGTTGAGCATACTCCCAGTAACTAGGAGCTGGAAAGTGGTAAAAGCTCCCATACTCCACTGCTAGATGATCCAGGGTGAACATATTTATGACAGAAAACACCATGAGGAAAACCTACAAGTGGTCTTGTGGAACACCCCATCTCAGGAGGCTGTTACTGACCAGAATGGTCATACAGTGCAGGTTTAAGAATAAGTATACCTAGTCAGGCAACACTTGCCATTGAGTGGGATCTGTATATGCAAGAAAGGCCCTTTAAAGAAGTAGAAAAAGAGCACCTACCCACCCATGGAGTTAAAGGTGGCAAAGGGAGGTAGACAGTAACCTATATAGCAGGAAATGGCCAGACAGTGAAGATAATGTGAAATAAAAACAGAGGAATTTGTCCATATACTGGAACAAACTATATCCTCTAATGGATGAAGGAATCGGGCAGCCAGGGACATGGCAAGATGACAGATTTGACAAGAGGAGGCTTGGAATATATGACATTTATTGGGAGACAGGGAAGAATAAGCCAGATAAATAAACTGGTAAATCCAACCCTTAAGGGGGAATAGGAAAAATATCATTGGAAATGGAAGGGTTTCAATAAATGAACAAACAAGAACCATGGAAGGGAGCAATGTGAACCATGTAACAGCGGAGAGCCCAGACATGACATAAAAAGCAATCCAGATTAGAAGGATGAAAATGTGAGAAAAGGGGAGGAAAATTGGAGTGAAGGTGGATACTGAAAGCCCCTTGTTGAAAAGCCAGGTAAGGAAGGAAGTCAAGTGTGGGAAAGTAGGACGGGACTTAGAAAAACTATGACAAGTAGTAGACACACCACTGACATTGGTAAACTGACTATGGATAAAGGGAAAATGGAATGGGACATCAGGGAAGCAACCCATAGGGAAAGTCTGGCCCATATGTTAAGGGACCGGACAAAAACCACACATGAAGAAAGAGTATTGGAATAAAACGATGTTGTGCACTAAACTGAGTTTGTCTGAGAATGGTGGGTGAGAGGGAAAGAGGAAGTGTCAACAAGAGCAGAAGTGGAAACCACAACAGTGCTGGCCAAAGTGGTGCTGCCAAGAGGACACAAGAAGATGGAGGGGGAAATAGGCATACAGGGAAGGTGGCCCCCCAATCTGACTAAGAGCATCAACAGCTACAGCCAAAGGAGATGGAATTGGGGACCAAAACCTGGAAAGCTTAGAATTCAGTTTGGTGGCAAATGCATCCAGTTCCTAAATACTTCACTTGGAAAACAGCCAGTCAAACACCTGTGGGTTGAGGGACCACTCCATAGGGAGAAAATTGTTGGGGGTGTGATAAATGAACCATGATCAGGGTAGCTGGTATATGATACTCTAACAAGCAAATGTGATGGCTGTGGGCCCAAAACAGGAGGTCCAACATGTGGAAACAAAGAGACCTTGACCGAGTGCCCCCCTTGCTGAGTGAAGGACAAGACAACTTTTGAGTTGTCAGAATGGAACACAACCAATAATTTCTGGAGTGATGGAATGAAATGAACCAAAGCACGACAGACAGTCAGAAATTCCAAGAGATTGATATGTAGTGATGGCTCATCAATGGCCCAAAAGCTCCTATGTGCCCAGTTATGCACCCCAACCCAAAAGAGAAGCATATGTGAAGAGCTGCCCACCCACTGTGAAGTTGTTTCTGTTTAACTACCAGCAAAGTCCACATGAAGCGAAGGAGAGGATGGATAGGGGCATCCAAGGGATCCTAAACAAGGTTCCACTGATCTAATAAAGCCCACTGAATAGGTTGCATGTGGGCTCGACCAAAGGGAACTAGGGCCTAAAAAGAAGCTCACGTCCCCAAAAGAGACAGAAATTCTTATACAATTGAAAGAGAGGAGGAAATGGTCCAAATCAGAAGCTCCATAGATCACAGGTGAATGGTGGGCTCAGCTGATATGGGAAATGAAAAATATCTCAAGAAGAACAAGGTATTGAATGGGGGAGAGGAAGGACTTTTCCACCTTGACCAGCTAACCTACCTGTGCAGCCTCTTGATGAAGAAACTCGAGAGTGAAGAAATGGAATGTGAAGGACATAGAAGCAGCCAATAATCTACATCATTGTGGAAATAAAGGCCCCTGTAATACAAAAGACAGGCAAAGGCCTTGACAACTTGACAAAAATGTAGGGAGCGAAAAATAGCCTGAACAGAAGATTCCAGAATTCTTGATGCAACTATGATGGACAAAACAAAGAAAAAGTCAGGATGCTGGGGAGATGAGAATGTGCAGATAAGCATCCAAGACATCTAACTTCATCACCCAAAGACCAGAAGTGAAAGTCCATTGAAGAGATAGGTATGACTCCATGGTGAATTGAGGGAGGTCTAGGAAGCAGGTCAAAGAAGAGATTGATGACAGGGTGCCAGTCCCCGGTCTTCCTGGAGACTATGAACAAATGGGAATAGGAACCTTGATAAGAAAGATCTCCCTGTTCTATAGTGCCCTGGTGATGGAGATTCAAAACTGTCCCAGAAAGACACTTGCTGGAAATGGAATCCCGTGAAATGGGGAAGGGTATGGAATGATAGGCCAGGGGAGAAGGGAAACTGAAACAAATAATGAGCCCTTTGGAAAGAACCTGCAGAATACAAGGGTCTGTGGTGAAGGGCTCCAAAGTGGTGGTAAAGCACAAAAGCCTGGCCTCCACTAGACCTGTAGCAACCAGGATTGCCAGAGGCTCTTAAGCTCTTGGCGAATGAACCAACGGCTAGCCTCAGAGATCTATGGAGCAGGCACTGGTAAAGGAGGGGGAGAAGATACGGGAACAGGTGCAGGATGAGGTACAGACCAACAGGATGCCAATGAGGAAAGGGAGGTGTGCAAATATGCAAACCTCGACTCTGGTCTCCAATGGCTCAGGAAGACCCTCAAAACCATCTTGCCCTAAAAAATGCACCAATGCACAAGTCCCATAAGGAGGTTGGGTGTAAACAGACTGGGGACATAAGGGCATCCCAACCCAAGAGATCTCAGTAACAGAGGAGCCATGTGGGTAGGGGAAGTACAGAAGAGAACAACTGTGTAAGCATAGAAAAAAAAAAGGCAATAATCATCACCAAAAACCCCTCAGGGGAACAAGGAATAGCTTCTGACAGAAGGTGAATAGAGAAAAAGGAATGAAGGAGTGTAAATAATGTGAGGCAGATACAGGAAAATTGTGGTTGGGAAAAGGTTACCAATGTAGTGGGATCAGAACCCCACAGAAGCAGAAGTGATTCCAAGTGCTGGGAGTCCAAAATGGGAGTTCCAAAGATTCACATATTATAATAAAAAGACACATAATGCTAATGTGTACTAACCTATATTTCAGAACACAATAACCCTCCACCAGTAGGAGTGCAACACAACTTCTAGCACAGCTGACTCCCTGTATACAGCTTAGCTCAAATTCTCTCATTCTTTTCTTTACAGAATTTCAATCAGTTCCTTATAATTGTGTTTTCTTTACATTTGCTGCACTTGCATGTGATCATGCAGTTGCCTCATGTAAAAACAAAAGGGTAGATGGGAGTATCAAAGCTAATGGCAAGCAGATATTTGTACATATAGAGGGCAGTACAAGTTAAGAAATGCTGTTCTGTGAGTGAATGTAAAACATTGTATCAGAATTCTTGTTTTTCATGTGTATTCTTTATCTACTATTATAAACATAACTAATATGTAAAAATCAGAAAATTATTAGGCTAGATTAAGTAAGATAAGAACAAAAAGGAAACTCTTCATGAGGTTTCGATACAGTGACACGAGCTGAGTGATTTACAACTTATGTGGCAGGAGTATTAGTTAGGCATGGTTCAAATGTCAATAAAACAACTAAATTAACTGTAAATAAATGTATACTATTATGATATTTAAGTATTGGGGATAAACAACTGTGATTTCCTGTTACAATTAGCAGTCATTATAGAAAAAAAAAGGGTAATTTAGATTTACTTCCTAATTCTTTGTGGTGGTTACAAGGTCAGTCAAACCAACCAACAAAATACAGTTAGTGTAGAGAAAATACAAAAAATATAAAGTTTTTGTGAAAACAAAAAAAAGATGATATTTATTTAGGTTTCAGAAATTATGCAAATGAAATCTGACAATTCTCACATAAAGAAAAGCATCTCTAACCCTAACATGAAAATTCCTTGGAGCAGTCAACACTCTCATTCCATATAATTAAGGAAAAAGTTTGGTAAAGACAATTCAAATTTCTGATTTTTTGTTTGCAAAAGATTTTTAATGGTTACTAAATGTTTTCTAAATTTCATGAAGATACATTACATGGTCTCGTAAAATAAAAGAGCCCTTTGTGATATGTACCATCTATCTACATATCTACTATGCTAAATCAGCAGTGTGTTACAAAATAGTCAGTTCTACACATAGCCAGTATTGTGCACACATCTGTCAGTAATGTGTTACAAAATAGCCAGTACTGTGCACACATCTGTCAGCAATGTGTTATAAAATAGTCAGTTCTACACATAGCTAGTACTGTGCACATATTTATTAGTGATGTTACAAAATAGTCAGTGTTACACAGTTGGTATTATGCATGTATTTATCAGTGATGCATTATGAAGTACAGTATTTTTGCAAGTATATACTAATGATGTGTTACAAAATAGTCATTTCTACTTATGGTACTATGCACATATCAGATGTGTGCACAATACTGGCTATGTGTAGAACTGACTATTTTGTAACACACTGCTAATAGATGTGTGCACAATACTGGCTATGTGTAGAATTATGATTATTTCATCTTCTTTGTAGGGATTCAAATTATAAATGTTTTGAAGCCAGTGTCTCTGATACCACTTCTTGTATAACAAATTTACCTTTCTCTGACATGTTCTTCACAGAATGTTTTCCTTGTGAATCTTGACTGTCAAGTTCATTCTCCTTCCTTTTTCTCCTTCGTCCTCTTTCTCTAGATGTCTCGTCTTTACTATCATCTTTTCTAAGAGTAATGGGGTTTTCTATGTCTTGGATGTTACTGATTGCTAGTCTAGTGGTTCTCTTCATCTCACCATGATTCTGAAAATGTACCATTACAATTAAAAGCTTTGTTACCATGAAAAAATATCTAGGTGCCTAACAAACAACTACTACCTGTGAGGAGCACACCACATCATCTTTTCACAGTACACAGCAAAGCTAAGACTGTGTGTGTATTATTGATCTGAAATATATGTAGATGATTCAAAAACATTGTAACAATTCAACGTAATCAGTTGATTAATTCTATGAGCCAGAAGTTCTTACTAAGGGTAAAATAAGGGTTTTAAATCAACTTTTTTTGGCCATTGACAAATATTTGCCAGTTACTTTAAAACCACTGATGAAAGAAAAAACAACAACAATTGCTTTAAGAACAATTACCATTTATTTATTATAAATAAGGAAGAGGTATATAGCTGTTGTCATAAATTATCACACAGAATACAAACAATTTCAGTGATTAATATTCTTTATGCTATATTAATGCAGTATATTCTCTTTATTGAGATACCATTGTCTGACTTCTATTAATTTTGGGAAATCTGTAAATAGCCTCTCATTGATGGTTCAATAGTAGACTGTCCTGAACAATTTCATTTTTCATATCTTCTGGCTCATTTCCTTTTCCAGTTTCTGCTGCACATTGAGCAGTAAATGCACTTATGTAAGTATCAGTATATTATGCTGTTTTGGTCAGGACATTATTTTTGAAATTTTTGGCACTAAATAATCTTGACAGTAACATGCTTATTTATGTGGATAGTTTTTGTTAAAAAGAAAAATTCTAACTTTTCTTTAGGAGATGTTGGGGATGGTATGCTGTCTCAGAAGTTGTGGCTAACAGTGATGTTATTTCATTAGATATAGATGGCATGTTTAACACACTGGCTGAGGTTGGATGAACTACAGAATTATAAAATAAACCAATTCTTAAAAAGATTGAAAGAATAAATTTAAAAAATGAAATTCCGAAATTAAATAATAAATTACAAAAAATTGAAGAGAAGAGTATTTGAGCCTAATAAACACTATCATAACACCTAAATATTCTTGTAAAAAATAGATCAAAATTCACATATAGAATATGAGCAGAGAATATTAAAATCTTTAGTG